GGTCAAGTCATCTCTCATGACTCGATCAATGAGCTGAATGAAGTACAGAGAGATCAAACAATTAGTTCAATTGTTCACTGAACTGGGGATCAATGCTTTGATAGAATATGTAAGACACTTACATCGCGCGCCTCCCACATCCGCTCCCAGCGTTCAGCTTGTATTCCCCACCAAATACCGTGGCCTGACAAGAGAGCCTTCAGCGCAGGTAAGTCGTCCAATTTACGTCGAACATTAGCTTGATGTCGGCGTCGATTGAAATCTGCACGGTGTCCACTGGAGCGAGTGAGCTTCTTGTTCACCTTATCCATCTGTAAGAGGTAATATGTCCCAAATTGATATTTCAGTCATGTGAATGTAAGCAATAGAAGGTATTACATTACTTACATCATTACTCAAACCTTTCATATAAGTATCCCCAAGGAGGTAAGCGGTCTTACGGTTACGGTAGTTTTCTGGCTCGTCTTCTTCTTTGTGATCTTCTTCTTGGGGGTCAGCGTTGGAATCTGAATCATTGGGTTTGCTGCTCTGATTACTTTCTAATTCGTCATTATCATCATCTCCACTCATACTTTCACTTTGATTAACTTCTAATTCCTCCAATCCAGACTTGAGGCCATCCAACTCGTCCTCCTCCTCGATCAAAGCCAACACTTCAACCGGTGGAAACCTACCTAAGGTGTTGTGGCGGATGCGCCTCGGTTTCATACCTAGTGCGTCCAGCCCGGCCTTGACTATCAGTCCCATTTTGTGACAGAAGCAACGAATCGACATCGATTTCGGATTCCAGCTGAGATCATGGCCTGATTTGTAACCTTCTTCACGGAGCTGACGATGCATCTCACGGCCTAGGGTGAAGTTGTTGCTTCCTGAGTCAGAAGCCATGGCTAGCATGTAATAAAGAAATATAAATCAGCATATCGAGTTAAATTGAAATGAAATGAAAGTAAAAAAGAAAAAAGAAACTTCAAAGGACTTATCTTTTTATAGAGATCGTTCTTTTTTAATACAGTTACCATGGGCTCAGCAAGCAAGTTGCCGTTGTGATGCCATGCAACTAACTTCATACTTAAATGTCGGACAACATATTTCCAGTCCTTCGTAACGTAAGAGACCGATGATCCAATGAATGCGTGAAGATTTCCCTTCACCGTCCATACATCTTGAATCAGACAGAACTTGCTGTCCAGTTCCTGTAATAAGAGAAGGGAAGAATATCAATGAAAAGACGAGATAAATGGAGATGAAAGGAAAGGAGAAGGGAAATGTCAAGAAATGATAAGAGATGAAATTCAAACCTTGAGTTCCTTCTCAATGACTAGTCCACGAAGCGAAAGATACAGTCGTTTGGCCTCTTCGGCCGACCACTTTCGTCCAAAAACTCGTGCATCAGGTCGTAGCCAATACATTATTGACTTAAGGATCGTATCTTCGATACGAATGAAAGGCAATGTGTGCGCCACTTGCCACACCAAGAGACATTGATTTAATGTACGATTGGAGAAGGTCGGTGGTTCGTTGACAAAGGAAGTAAGAGATGTTTGATGATCTTGCTGGAGACGCTGAGCTTGGAGTTCATTCACAGTGGGAGGGAGCTTGGCGCCAGCGGCAATTGCCTGATTGCGACGTGGGCACCCCGCTCCAGACTTACCAGGTGCAGGATTACCATCTTGGTGCACTTTGAGGTTGGATCTTCAAGAGCTGGCACTGACTCGGACCTCCTTGTTACACCAGGTACAAGTATGAGATAGTCCCGGTTGGTCCTTTGCCTACAAGATCACTTATCGTCAGCTACACAGATACAAATACAAGCTTTGTAAGACAATATGAGCAAGATATCAGACTTACATCTTTTTTCAAATGCCAGGGAGGTCCAAAGTACTCGAATGGACAGTCAAAGTCGTCAGGAGCCTGATTCCTTTTGCGTTTTCTGAGGCACGAGTTGTCCTCATCCGAGTCTTGTTGTAAGTCGACTTCGATCACTGGACCCAATTGGATTGGTACCTACAGATAGTGTTCAAAAACATGAACGATAGGAACATAAGATTGTCAATCGAAAATCAAATGAGATTTTCAGTAGATGGTACTGGACTTACAGGACCAGATCCTTGGCTCTTCTTGCCTTTTGAAGCAAGGATCCTTGAAATAGAAGAAGAGACCATAGAAGAGACCATTCCACCATCGGATACTGATTGGGAGCGTTCACGGAAGGATCCTGTGCCAGTAGCCTGCGTTTAGAAGATAAACAATGAAGAATTATAAAGGTAAGATTCAAATAAACAAATTACAATTGTAGATTGTAAAAAAAGATGACTTACAGAAGATGCCGGACATGAGACAGTCTTCGATCGTCCACGTGCTGGTTCACGAAACACTTCATCGCCAGGCAAGGAGGCAGATCGCTCTCGACGACGGTGGACATGGGCGTCTCTGACATCCCTGACTGAGAACAAGTCACCCATGCCACGTCGCGAGTCGGACGAGGGAATAATCATCCCTGGAACTCTTCTGGCCGGAGTGACTACACGAGAAGACCGACGGGGAGGAGGAGCGGGACCATCGTCGGTTTCATACCCAGTGGTCAAGAAAGACTCAATGGTTGGCTGCTTGTGGCTGTTACACATGATGTCTATAATGGTGATTGGAGGGTGATTTGTGATAGAAGTATAGTTTGAGAAAGTAATGGAAACGATCTATGATACGATAAATGGAGGAGATGGAATGAAAATCAGATATTGATTAACAACTAAACGGAATTGTCGTCGAGATTTGAAAACGGGTGGGAGATGCTTACCTTTTTAGTCATGTCCAAGGTTCCCCCAACCCCCACGATAGTTTGACCCATGATTATATGAATCTGGGAAGAGAACGCCCTAGATCGTAAGTGATTAATTGATTGAATAAGATCGTACCAATTGTTTTGGAATGGTGAAATAGAGTTATCCTGACAACTGGAGAGAAAGAGTTGAATCTGGTGAGAGAACGCCCTAGATCGTAAGTGATTAATTGATTGAATAAGATCGTACCAATTGTTTTGGAATGGTGAGATTGAGTTATCCTGACAACTGGAGAGAAAGAGGTGA